AAGATAGATTTTTTCCAAGGTGATTTAAATTCCCACCACATTTCTTTGGCACATTGTGCCCTCGTATTCAGCTATTATATATTATATAGGTGTGTTTGTGTGTCCGTGCATATGCATATATACCCTTTCTCCCACACACCCATATGACTTTTGTAGGAATTTATCATGAACAAATGCATTTAAGAAAACGTGCAACCGGTTATGGCGTATACCTCCAGATGCCTTGATATACATGTGGTAGGTTTCCCATCTAATCGAGCCTTCTGTCTTCTCCTCTTTTTGAACAAGCTGGACTTCAGGAGCTGTGGCAGAAAATCATCACGCGTTTATTCGCACTGTAAGGTTTTTCACAATTGCCCCAGCATTACTCAGGAATTTAAAAGAGCCAAAGGAACTCCTGAGTTGAGGTTTCAGCAAGCAAACAACTTTTACTTTGATCAAAATAGAGTTGGGTGACCCCCATCTCTCTTCGTGGCTGGTAGAGAGATGAAGGCAACAACCAGAAAAGATGTCTTCCACCTTTTATAACAGTGGTTCTCAACCTTTTTAATGCTGTGACCCCAACCGGTCGTAAGTCGAGGACTAAACCGGTCGTAAGTCGAGGACTAAACCGGTCGTAAGTCGAGGACTTTCCCTGCCCGGGAGTGCCGCGCATGCGTGGTTCCGCCCCCTGCGCCGGCCGAGACGTAGCTGGCAAGCAGCAGAGACGGAGCAGGCCGACCACCAGCTGGCCCAGCCCAAGGGAGGTAAGGCACCTGCCGGAAAAGGGGGAAAAAATGGCGGACAAAAAAAATGGCGGACAACCTTGCTTGGCGACCCCCATGAAATGGTCGATCGACCCCAAATGGGGTCCCGACCCACAGGTTGAGAACTACTGTTTTATACCTTTCCAGAACAAAAAGATCAGGTCTTGGTACCAGGCATAAGATGGCACAAAAAAAAATAATTCCTAGATGATGACTCATACCCAGCAACCCAGGCTCCATCTGTAACTCCTTTCCCCCCTTCCCTTACTGTACTCTTTTCATATAAGCAATCACCTATACCTAAAGCATGAAGCCCTTACTTTTCCAATATATATATATAAAGCATCTGATCAAGCAATTAACTACAAAATAATGATTACAAAATAACAAAATGATTACATGATAACACTATAAGTATCAATATAAAATGGTTACTATATATAAAATAAATGCTAATGTCAAACTTAAACATACTAAAATCATAAGCACAACAAAATCCCTTCAGCACCACAATGTTACCCAGAGATGACAACCCCCCCACCCCACCCCGTGCATTTCAAGCAAAGTTGGAGGTGGGTTGAGCCTATCTACACAAATGAACATTTGCAACTTCACAAGAGCCTTTACAAATGCACACACTCCCCCCACCCCGCCCTGCAGGCTTGCCATTTCCCCCCCCCCCCAGGATGAAGCCATATGGAAAATGCTCCTTTTGTTTCTCTAATGGCTGTTGAATGAATGGGAGCCCGTGACACGCATGCAATTGAAGAGGACATTGATTTACCTGAAGGGATCAATACTGCCAGCAGCTGGGATGCAAAACCCAATTGATTTTCTTATTCACCTCTTTTGATTGTGGAACAAAGCAGAGGCAGGTCGGGAGGAAAACTGCCCAAGGGGCTAATTTAGCTTGGAGTTTGAGCTTTTCTTCTTCTTTTTTTCTTTTTTTTCATTTCCTCTTCTGAACTTTTTTAGGCACAGAATTCACTAGGCCTCTCTCTGTGGTCTTTTACTTAATTTGGATTTATTTATCTTTTTTTTTTTTTTAGATGTGGCATTTCCAGAACTTCCATTCAGTTGGGGAAAGCGCCCCTGGCATGCCTTTTCCTTAAATTCACTTGAGGAAATACGATAAGCCAGTGGTGGCAAACCTATGGCACGCGTGCCAGAGGTGGCACTCAGAGCTTTCTCTGTGGGCACTTCTCTGAACTGCTGGTGGCAGGCTACAGAGCCCCAGAGTTCGCTGGTCGAGGGGCCGGCAGGCTGTGGCTGCTGACGGACACTGTCAGCCCCCATGCGCTCGCTGGCCTCTGGGCGCGGGGGCCGATGGTGTCAGGCAGCAGCTGCCCTAGCCCCTGCCTTGCCTTGCCCTGAGATAATGGCACCCCCAACCCTGCCCAGCCCCCACAGGCGTCCCTCCCCACGAGCAACATCAAGGTGACCACACCCACCTTGGCCACAGCCACCCAATCTGCCATGACCACCACAGCCACGGCCACCCAGTGAGCCACGCCCACCTGGCACCCGGCGATACATAAGTGGGTTTTGGGTTGCAGTTTGGGCACTCGGTCTCTAAAAGGTTCGCCATTACTGCGATAAGCGTTTATAGAAGGGCAGCGGGGGGGCTCAATGGTTAAGACGCTGGGTTTTTCTGCCGGAAAGCTGCCAGCCCAGGTTCGAAACCTGAGCTCCATGTGACGGGATGAGCTCCTGTCCTTACCTCAGCTCCTGCCAATCTGGCCGTTTGAAAGCATGCAAATGCGAGTAGATAAATAGGTCCCACTTCAGTGGGAAGGTAACAGCGTTCTGTGATGTCATGCTGGCCTCGTGACCGTGGAAATGTCTTCAGACAGCCCTGGCTAAATGGCCATGAAACAAAGATGAGCACCGCCCTGTACAGTCAGCCACAACTAGTGGAGTAAAATCCACTCCTTACCTTTAAAGAGGATTGGTTTCTAGCCTACTAGAGTATGTTCGTGGCCTCGTAGCACTTCTTTCTTACAATTGGAGAAAACGGTGGAGGAGCCCCATCTAGTTCAATGTTTCCCAACCTGAGCAATTTTATGTGGACTTCAACTCCCAGAATTCCCCAGCCCAGCCTTATCTTTGTCTTCCATGACCGGTCATGTTCCGTGACCAAGATCATCAAGTGACTATCTCATGAAGCCATACTATTATTGGTTTGAACATCGCATGATGAGACAACCCAGCAATTATTCTGTTACACCAAATCTAGAAGCCAGCAATTTTTTTTCCAAGCTAGAACACCCTTACTACAAATAAAGTCTACCGACGAGGTTGTCCTACCAATGTAATTTGTTTCTAGAATTATAACACGAATGGACGTGAAATGGAGATTGAAATAAGCTATTCGTTCACTACTTCTTCAGCAAGGTAACTATCTTGCTTAAGTGTATCAACTATTTAAACCAAGGGTCCCCAACCCCCCGGTCTGTGGACCGGTACCTGGTCTCAGCATGCCAGCAACCAGTCCACACAAACAAGCAAAGTCCCATCCGCGGGATGCAGGCAGCACACAAAACCACGCCCCCTCTGGTCCGCGGAAAACCATCTCTCCATGGGACCAGTCCCTGGTGCCCAAAAGGTTGGGGACCTCTGATTTAGTGTGTAATAACACTTTGATGAAGGGGGGAAAGCATCCTTATTTCATTTTGCAACATTCATTTCACCTCAAAAGTACTCAGGCCTAACTTTGAAGCAGTTATCTAAGCAAACCTGGCTGCTTTTGCACTACACAGAGGTTGACAGTGAGATCTGGGGGATTTAATGGTGTAGGAAGACAAAGTGAAACATACTTCTGACTGTTCCTTCTTCAAGGTCTTTCTTAGTCTCTGTATCATCAGACTTATCAAATCCTGGGGAGGTGAAAAGTGAGGGAAAAGTCAAGCTAAAACTTACGATCGCTAAAATATAAAGGAGGGGTGGGAGCGATTTTATCGGGGTCTTTCAGTTCTGCGGAAGAGATGTCTGAATCGTAATCCTGCATGTCTTTCTTTTTCATTGACTCATCTGAAGACGAAAGAAATTGGTTGTCTGCAATCTAAAGTAAACAAAGTCAAAAGTTTTCATTTGAGAATGAAGAAGCCCGGCTAGATCAAGTAGAATGATGCCCCCCCTTTAGGACTTGTGGATTTCAACTCCCAGAATTTGCAGGAATTTGCATTCCTGGCTGGCTCAGGAATTCTGGAAGTTGAAGTCCACAAGTCATAAAAGGCCCATTGTTCTCCATTCCTGGTCTAAGCCATAGGACAGCCTATAAACTGGTCTTGAGGATAACAACCCCTATTCTTTCTTGGTTTTCTCCAGCATCTGAGACTGGAAGGAACAGCATCACTGACCCAAGGAAGTTATTTTAGCAATTGTTTCTAAAGACTATTGATTCTTCTTAGTCCTGACAGTTTTTCTCATCTGTTAAGAATACAAAAATACCCTGGTTTATTCAACCTCAAGTCAGTTGAGTCCAATAGCTTGTTACCTACAACAGAGGTCCCCAACCTTTTGGGCACCAGGGACTGGTTATGAGGAGAGAGATTTTTCTGCGGATGGGTGGGTACGTGGTTTTGTGTGCTGCCTGCATCCTGTGGATGGGGCTTTGCTTGTTTGTGCGGACCGGTTGCTGGCACACCGCAGCCCAGTACCGGACCCCTGACCTACAACATCTGAGCAGACATTTCCTGGAAGCCCACAAGCTCAACCTGGCTGTTACTTCCTGATAATGTTCTCCAGCAATCGTTTTCATTGCCTTTCTGATTCAGGGGCTACTCTTAAGATACCTTTATTGTTGGGCCATAAATATCATCAATTAGACTGCACAATGATTATCCATCCAGATATTGTTAGACTACAGTTCCTATCACACACTGCTGTTATCCATAGTAGCAAGGAGGGGTCCTTGGTGCTCTCTGAGCTTGCTCGTTTTCTTGCAGATGTTTCATTACCCAACATCAACAGTGCTAGTTTGGGTAATGAAGCATCTACATTCTTGCAGATGTAATGAAATATCTGCAAGAAAACAAGCAAGCTCAGAGAGCACCAAGGACCCCTCCTTGCTACTATGGATAACAGCAGTGTGTGATAGGAACTGTAGTCTACCCTGAGCTACAGATATTCTCCTTTATTGATACGAGCAAAGAGCTCATGGAAGTTGAGATTCAACAGTAACCGGACCTGCTATTACTCACATTATTATAATAAGCCCTTTTTGCATATGATTATCTCTAAAGCTGNTCTTTTCCCCCCCCCCCCCCCCCCCGCTCTCCTTTGTCATTTTTACATGCACCAGAGGTGTTGCTTAGTTCTTGCAGCATTGTGGGGTTGAGCTCTTTTGGCACATGCCTGGAATATTACAATACATGCGGAAAAGTATCCCAGGATTGCGTATGATGCTGATCGCATGAGTCACGTCCCCTTTGCTCTCCACACAGATTCTGCTGTTGTTGTGCGTTTCCTCTTCACCTGTGCACGTTTCAAAAAGTTTGTGGGGTGCAAACGTTTGTGAGGTGGAAATCTCAGAATAGTGCCTGTCTTGGGGCATAAACCCCATTGTTCTTTGCACTTGTGCTTGGGAAGTGTGGGTTAGGCATTAAAATATAACAGAATAACGGAAGGGACCATGGAGGTCTTCTAGTCCAACCCCCTGCTCAAGCAGAAAACCCTGTAACATTTCAGACAAATGTTTGTCCAATTTCTTGAATTCCTCTACCCTACAAAATGGGTGCTGGGAAATCACAAAGGCATCAAAAGCTTCAAGTTCTAAGCTGTTCTATGCAAGTTCTAAAACAGGGGTCCCTAATCCCTGGTCTGTGGCCCAGTACCGAGCCGCGGCATGCTAGCAACCGATCCGCACAAACAAGCAAAGTCCCATCCATGAGATGCAGGCAGCACACAAAACCACACACCCTCCAGTCCGTGGAAAAACCCCTCTCCACGGAACCGGTCCCTGGTGCCCAAAAGGTTGGGGACCTCTCTCTAGAACCAGCTTTCACCAGTACAGGAGAACTAACTTTGGGATGCTAATAGGCAGCAGCACAAAATAAGTACTGAGGACTGAAACCCACAACGACGTCTTCTGCGCGCTGATTATAAAAGAGTTGAGCATAATGGCCCTTGGCTTTCATCAGCTGTGCATGGGTACCGCTTTCCGATATCTGCCCATCTTCTAGCAACATGATTTGATCACAAAACTGCAGATACTGTGGATATTAAGGAAAGAGAAAAGAATCAGTAAACTAATGAGCAGGTTATGGAGTTGGTATTTCGGATTCTACCTTTATACAGGTATCCTCGAATTACAATCACAGCTGAGCCCAAATTTTTGAAGTTTCAATGAAAGTAGTTAAACAGCTCAGATATTCAAAGGGAACTGAAACAATTTTTGAAATCAAATTGGATTCAAGCTGGAACTGAATCGGGTCATACATTTCAATCAAACCAAAAGAAAAATGGATTTTGCCAGATTTATACATACTTCAGTCTCTGTCTGTCTGTCTGTCTGTCTCTCTCTCTCTCTCTCACACACACACACACACACAGAGAGAGAGAGAGAGAGAGAGACAGAGAGACAGAGAGAGAAGCAGAGGCAGAGACACAGAGACACACACAATGGGAAAAAGATAGACAAATAAAGTACATAACAATATAGAGACAGAGAGGCAGGGATTATTTCTGTTTGACAGAAAAAGAGTGTAAATTTTAGGAAATATGTTTTATAGGGCACAGCCTGGTTTCTTAGACCTGGCTGAAACAGCAACCCTATTGTAGAAAGAAAAAATCTCAACAAATTGTTATCGCTTTGGGAAGAGCGTACAATCTGTAAGCCCCCAAAGACTCTGTTTAGATAACAATACAAATTCTCCCCATTCTTTAGAATGAGGATCTTTTGTTTCTGTTCTTTTTTCAAATGGATCAATGGCTCTACAGAGAATTTCAAGCCTTTTCTGCCCTCTATTGGCATGGAGAAGTTATTTTGTTTTTCAAGAGGGGAGGAGGGAAGAAGTAATGGAATAAAACTGCAGAAATGGGTTTTGGTTTTTTTTTTTTTTGAGAAGTCTTTTAACAAGGAAAAATAAAACCCGAGCAGCAGACTCAGAAGAACCGCAAAGATTGCCTCTACCATGGGAAAGATGGGTGGTTGCTGACCTCAGTTCTCTAACCAACAATCACTGCTTGAGAAACCAAACCAGGCCACCCCCCAACCTCACTGTTATAAGGCATTGCCAAATGCTCTAATTCATTTTCTGTGATGTTAGACTCAGTGTGCAATTGCCTCTCTTCGGGGGCATAAAACCCAGGCTGCTTGTTACTTTTAAACTAATAGCACACTTACTCTCCAAATGTAGGCCATTATGAAGGAAATGTTCACATACCAGAGGGAAATATTAACAGCACTGAAGAGGCTCTAATGGTTTGCAGGAATTAAAAAAAAAAGGGGGGGAGGGAATTGAGGGGTGGTGGTAGAAAACAGCTGGGGGACAAACATCGCTTGGTATTCAAGACGTACTGACCAAGAAAGATTTGAAAAAAGAGAAAGAATAGAATTGAACATTCTGGGAAGAAAGTGAGACTAAAAATGTCTTTGAGGTCCCAGGGCAATAAAGTCTTTAAAATTAATTGAAAAACAAAACAAAACCCAAAAGCATTTTAGAAATGATAACAAGCTGTTAAATTTTTTTTCCCAAAAAAGTCAACATCCCTATTGCAGAAACGATAAGTCCTTGACTTACAACAGTTCGTTTACTGCCCGTTCGAAGTTACAACGGCGCTGAAAAAAGTGACTTAGGACTGTTTTTCACACTTACGACTGTTGCGGCCTCCCCACGGTCACGTGATCAAAATTCGGACCCTGACTCATACTTATGACGGTTGCAGTGTCATGGGGGATCGTGTGATCCCCTTTTGCGACCTTCTGACAAGCCAAGTCAAGGGGGAAGTTGGATCCACTTAACAACCGTGTTGCTAACTTAACAATCCCAGTGATTCACTTAAGAGCTGCATCAAAAAAAGGTCGTAAAAATGGGGCAAAACTCACTTAACAAATGTCTCGCTTAGCAACAGAAATTTTGGGCTCAGTTGTGGTTGTAAGTTGAGGACTCCCTATATTGGATTTGTTTCACCCCAAACTCCATCCTGGGTGTGTTTCTGATTTGGGCTGACATTCCTCGTAGCCATGCCCTATAAAGTTCTTTCCCATTTCTTTCAGCAATTCGTTTACCTGCAGCTGATGAGACACCAGAAGGAGGGTTTTCCCCTTAAGAGCCTTTTTAATGCATTCTTCAAAAATATAGCTTCCAACTTGAGCATCCACGGCGGACAAAGGATCGTCCAATAAATAAATATCTCGGTTTGCATACACCGCCCGAGCCAAAGTGATTCTCTGCTTTTGACCTCCCGAGAGGGTCACACCCCCTTCTCCTATCTTTTAAAAAAAACAAACAGAATGGATGCATCGATCAAACTCAAATATAGAACACTCATATAGCTGTTTAATAACAGGTTTCTACCTTTATTAGAATGTAAACATTGCATTTCACTGTCAGGCTATGAAATTTTCCTCCATTTATGAGAAATGTTCAGATTATTGATTCCTTATTCCATAGACCATAATGTCCTTTTTAGCAACTTAACCAATGTGGGCAAGAAAAGTCGTCAAACAGGGCAAAACTCACTTAACAAATTTCTCACTTAGCAACATAAATTCTGGGCTCAGTTGGGATCGTAAGTCGAGGACTACCTACATTCTGCAGAAAGAGAGAGAAATCTCAGCATGCAAAAGGAAGAATGTTAGGCCCCAAGTACTGATAAATTATGAAGAGAACAGGGACATCCATGCATAAAGAGGGGAGAGAAATCTAAAAAAGTTAAGATGACGTCCACAACCATAGATCTATCACACAACTATGATTGTCTTGTTGATGGTGGGGTTTCAATCACACTACCCTCCCTTCCTATCGCTTCCAGGAAAATACAGCAAATTGCTCAGATAATAAAATAGGAATATGTAAAGCAAGGTTTTTTTTTCCTCCTTCAGATCCACTAATCCTTTAGAGATAAAAACGCACTGTGGCCCAATTTAGGCTCAACATGTTATGGCAAATGCTGAGTTTATGAAACATATCAAAACTAAATTAAAAATTAAATCAAAACTAAACACAATTGGTTTAACATCTTGGCCTATCTGTTATTTACAGGCTGATAGTAAATGAATTCCCAGAACAAGTTGGATCCAATACCAGTTTACTTAGCCTACTGTGTTATTTAAAGCCAGGGGTGTATTAGCCATGCTTTGTGGTTTAGTAGCTTGTGCACAGCATAGTGTGGCTTATCCAACAAGCCATGAGTAAGCCAATAATGGCTTAGTATATTCTGAAACTAAGTCTAAATCTGTAGCACCCCTGAAATCAGAATCATGTCACACCTAACTCCTCATTACAAAGTATAGAAAATCCATTTGTATCATTGTTTCACAAATCTGATGTAACATCTGAAGATGTTCAACATGAATTAACATTATAGTTGGGATTTTGTACCCTTCATACTAAGAAGAATATCTAGGGCTAGTTTGGCCAATTGCCTATAGGCCCAATAATGTATTTTCTTTCCTGCGAAAGCAAATATAATGCTGTCATTGATTAAACAATTAACCAGAAACTCAGTAGGTGATTTGAGGTCCATCATTCTCTCTCCATCCATCATTCCTTACTGAGTTATCACATATATAAAATCTGGGGAGCTCTCCATCTATGTTTCCATGAGATGAGATATAAATACACAGAATAAACAAGAGTAAGTTGGCAGTTTAATTTAGCGTCCTTAAATTAAATAAACACACATTATACTTACTTCGGTCATATCTCCATAGGATAAACGTTCCATATCTGTCTTGAGACTGCAAATGTTGATGATATGATTATACCTAAAAATATTAAAACTGAACTGAGTTGCAAGCAATGATTCTCAGAAAATTTCTTTCGTATTTCTGTAAATGAGCCTTGTAGCATTACTGGGATTATTATTGGAGAAGACTCCTACAGTGTTGAGTATTGCCGGTTCTCCAGTCTTGACTCAATGTCAGCCTTAGCAGCTAGAGCAGACAGGAAGCATGACCAAATAACCTCATTCTATTTTATTGTAAAGCTGCATTAATAGACTCTTGCAAGTTTGAAAGTACAATTTTCCCCACCGTCAACGTTATAGCCTGTTACAGAGGTACCTCAGTACCCAACTCATAAAATTTGGTACTCAACGTATTTTGACATGAACATTTTGTCCCGGTATTCATTGTTTGTTTGGTACTCAACACACAAGCTAGAACTTGTTGATGTTGGTTGTCTCATGACTTGCTGCCCTTTCCAACTGAAGGATTAGGCCAGGGGTCCCCAACTCCCGGTCCGTGGACCAGTACTGGGCCGTGACATGACAGCAACCAGTTCACACAAACAAGCAAAGCCCCATCCACGAGATGCAGGCAGCACACAAAACTACACTCCTCTGATCTGCGGAAAAACCTCTCTCCACAAAACCGGTCACTGGTGCCCAAAAGATTGGGGACCTCTAGGTTAGGGTTAGGGTGCCACAATAGTCACGTGATAACTCTTGCCCTGTGAACATCCTCTTGCAGTCTTATCTTCTGTGGTCATTTTGTGTATTTTTGTGTTTTCTTTCTCATCAGTACAGGTATTTTATTTTATTTATTGTATTTAATCTAAGTATGTATTAATTTTTAGGTTTGTTTCTCATGTAAAATAATGATATACAACCCTATCTTTTTATATATTGCCTTAAAAATGTGCATTGTCTTTGGTTTAGGAACACGTTAAGTTTATTTACATTATTCCTTGTGTGAAAAAATTGTTTGGTACTTGTTTTTGGTACTTATCATGCCTCTTGGAACCAGTTAAAGACAAGTACTGAAGTAGCATTAAGGATCCCTCAAAGGCTTCTGTTCCACCCATTATGCAGCTGTGGCCTATGCTTCCTCTTATCTGTCTGTTCCTTAGACAGCATCTCTTCACTATTTTTTTTTCAAGTTGTAGAGCTCCTACAATAACCAGCTGAGATGGAAATGACTCAAACAAAGAAGGCACTCAAATAACTGGGTCTTGTCAATTATTTTACCCTTAGATATTCTATGTAATATTTGAACTGAAGGTTCTTTTTCTATTTCATATCATTTCAGCAAAGCTTAATGCCCCCCTGCAGCATCTAATGGCTCGTGACATGCTAGTAATATTCCCCGGAGCCATTTTGAAGATGTGGTGAAAATGAGTTCTTGGGAGATGCGTTTGCTTGTTTGTTTGTTCCCACTAAGCTGGAATACATTTTTCTTCCTTTCTCTTCTTTTTTTTCTTTTGATCCAATATAATTTGAGGGAATGACAGAAGTGATATTTAGCAACCATTTACTCTCACAGCTGAGTACACTGGTCGGGTATAATATTTAGAAAACTAATAAGAAAGAACAGCTTTCTTGGTTTCATTAAAACCGAAGAACTTGCTGTGGGGAATATATAAACTCTTATTTGAAAATGAGAAGCTAAGACATTTCTTATCTTGATTATTCTAATGTAGGTTGTTCACCTGAGGTCCTTGACCTGCCTGTGGCCCTCAGAATCCTTGGGTGAAGCCCTCAAAGACCTTCTAAAATGGTCTAGCAAATTGTAAGCTTGGACTTGACACATTTAAAAAGAACATTAAATATGGGGAGTATTAAGGTTAACTGTACTTAATTACCCCACTCTTACCAAAATTTCAAGTACATTTCAATTAAAATCCATTTAAATTCATTTGTCTTGTCACCACCTCTGCGTTAAAAATACAGGCAGAAGCAACCAGATCCACACATGTAGAATTCAAGTTTACTACTTTATTATATTCTGCCTATAATACAGGAATCTCCCTGGATTGCTTGCCTTCTCTTGCAACAGACAGATTAGTTCTATGAAGCTTAAGGGATGGTTTCACTCCTTGATCTCATCCTTGCATTGCTTGCGTGAAGCTACAATATCGGTTTGAAAGCTGTTCAGTCAGATCATCTACAACCAACTGTGTTGGTTCACAATAGATTCTTCCAGACCTTCCAGGAGATGAAGCAACTGAACTAGGACCTTCTAGATGCCACATTATTTTGCTATAGGCTTTTGGAAGGACCAGACTACAAATAAAGAAGGCCTGACGCAAATTGTTCTCCATCCTCAAATGAACCTCTTCACACATTCAGGTCAACTTCTGAAGCCTCACTTCAGTTCCCATCCCTCACTCAGGTAAGATGGCTCAGAAAGACACAGTCTTTCATTTGTGACGCCTTGCCTGCGGAAGTCCTCTGGCAATGTTAGCATCTGAGTACCTTTAAGGTAGCTGACATTTTATGCCACCGTTTCATCTCAAATCGAGCAGTAATGGTTTGGTTTCATGTGCTTTTTTTATTATTATTTGAGTTACAGTTTTGAGAATTTCATTTCGTTACTTTCATTTTCCATCCCCAGGGCATTTCTTATAAATATGCCAAGAGAAATACGTAGGTGTTTCCATAAACACATCTGATAACAGTTATTTAACAGTACAACACCCTAGCATTTAATCAAATACAATGCTTGCCCTTTCCTTTATAGAGCTAAAAATAAAAGGATTAAAGACTGAATTCTTTTCTTCTTTTTTTATAAAAAGGAAAAAAGAACAGAGCCAATGATCAGCAAAGGCAGTGTGATAATTCTGAAAGATCAGGAACCCTCCCCTTGAATGCTCCAATCTTAATCTCTTTTATTACTTAAATTTATGGTTATCTTTGCATGATGACTCAGCAGATAAAGATGCTGAGCTTCTCAGCTAGATAGCCCGAGACCGAGACAATGGAATGAGCGCTCATTACTTGTCTCAGTTCCTGCCAACTTAGCAGTTCAAAAACATACAGAGGCGAGTAGATAAATAGGTACCACTTTGGCGGGAAGTTTGCAGAGTTCCGTGCGCCTTCAGCATATAGTCATGCTGGCCACGTGACCACGGAAAAATCTTCATATAATGCTAACTCCCTCGGTTAAGAAAAGGAGATGAGCAACTGCTAGACTCGGACATGACTGAACAGGAGAAATCTTTAATTTATTTCATAGTTACCTTTGTTCATCATAGTCTTCTCCAAACAGTATATTATCCCTGACACTTCCGTGAAATATCCACGCTTGCTGTGACACGTATGCCAAAGTGCCATTCACAATGACCTTCCCACGATACAGATACATCTGGAGTGGATAGAAGGAATAGTTGGATGCCAAAGCTGCTTCGGTGGCTTTTCCTGTTATCTGTTAATCCATGTGTCCTAAATCACAGTTCTTAGATACCTGTTTTGCTTCTGATGGAGAACTTGAAAATAATGGAAAGTTAGGGAAGGATTTGCATACCAAAACCAGCCCACCCATCCGGGCCAAACGAGACATCAATTCTAGTCTTCAAATTTGGGCCTTATGTAATGAAGTGGAAGTGATTCTTTCTTTGCTCTTATTGTAGTTTTTGTATTACGATCGGGGAAAGGTTTTATTGTGTCTCCTACACCAAGAATAATTGGATAGATTGAATTTTCTGCACCTTGATTTAGCCTGTGCAGCGCAATTCCCTCCCACAGTTCGCAATTAAATAAAAGTTTAATTCTACAAACTTTTCTACATCTTACGGAACCTGATCTTTGCAAATACTGTCTGATCAGGACCTGTTATATTCATATGCAACCTGAAGATTGACTATCCATTGGAGTAGCCATTTTTTCTAAATGGCTCAAGGGTCCATCCTAGACATTTGAATGCACCGAAATGCAATTTGTATACAGATTTAGAGAACAAATGCATAAATTTTCAGATCTGCTTCCTCTGTTTAAACCGGGGATCTTCAGACTTGGCAACTTTAAGACTTGTAGACTTCAACTCCCAGAATTCCTTGGCTGGCTGAGGAATTCTGGGAGTTGAAGTCCACAAGCCTTAAACTTGCCAAGTTTGAAGACCCCTGGTTTTAAAAAATAGTAAAACACATGCAACCAACACCATAATGTTGGTATGCACTAGCCATAAGAGCTGAGAAGCTCAACATATTAGCAGAGTGATGCACTATGGGTCTACCTTTGGCCACACAGAATACTGAAGTTTTGACTTGATCAGCATAGCATAGTCAAGGAAAAGAGCCACGTTATTGTAAAGTATCGTAAAATGTTACATTAGAGATGAACTGAGAAAAATGTAGACATTTACATACCTGTCCTAACACTGCTTTGAGGAGTGAAGTCTTTCCACTTCCCACATTGCCACAAATCCCCAAAACTTTGCCCTGGGAAGGAAAAAAAGTGAGTACAATTTACACACGGCAGTAGAATTAGAATACTTTATTTGGCCAAGTGTCATTCGACACGCAAGGAATTTGTCTCCGGTGCAGAAACTGTCCGTGTACATGCAAAACAACAGAGTAATAATCATAATAATCATAATAATGATACCAATAAGACAGGGTAGTAGAGAAAAGGGGAATAATAATAATAATAATAATAATAATAATAATAATAATAATAATAATAATAATAATAATAATAATAATAATAATAATAGTAATGTTAGTTGCAAAGTCGTGTCCGACCCATCGCGACCCCATGGACAACGTTCCTCCAGGCCTTCCTGTCCTCTACCATCTTCTGGAGTCCATTTAAGCTCACGCCTACTGCTTCAGTGACTCCATCCAGCCACCTCCTTCTCTGTCGTCCCCTCCTTCTATTGCCCTCCATCTTTCCCAGCATCAGGCTCTTCTCCAGGGAGTCCTTCCTTCTCATTAGGTGGCCAAAGGACTTGAGTTTCAACTTCAGGATCTGGCCTTCTAAAGAGCAGTCAGGGTTGATCTCCTCCAGGACTGACCGGTTTGATCGCCTTGCAGTCCAGGGGACTCGCAGGAGTCTTCTCCAGCACCATAGTTCAAAGGCCTCCATTCTTTGGCGCTCAGCCTTTCTTCTGGTCCAACTTTCACAGCCATACATTGCAACTGGGAAAACCATGGCCTGGACTATACGTACTTTGTTGGCAGGGTGACGTCTCTGCTCTTTAGTATGCTATCTAGATTTGCCATAGCTTTCCTCCCCAGGAATAATAATAATAATACCATACAACATGGGTAAATAGACATAAGACAGTACTGTGGGAATTAGGTGTTCAGCAGAGTGATGGCACAAGGGGGAAAAAAACTGTCTTTGTGTCTAGTTGTGTTGGCATGCAATGCCCTAGAGCGAGGGGAGAAGTTGAAACAATTTATGTCCAGGATGTGAAGGGGTCTGTAGATAATTTCTCAGCCCTCCTTCTGGCCCACATAATGTACAGGTCTTCTATGGAAGGCAGGCTGTATTATGGATCTGTGGCTGTTTATACTCAGACCAAATCTTAACATCTTAACGTAAATTATCACCAGGTTGATTTGGGTTTAAATATTATTGTTCCCCTGTACTTACTTTCTCTACTGTAAAACTTATATTCTGCAGGACAAAGGTGATGTCAATATCCTTGTCAACAAGTAATATCTCTGAGTCAGAAATGACTGGGTCTACCCTGGGAGGGGATTTGTGGACCCCTTTCCCAGTCAGATGTCTTTCTTTAACAGTTTTGGTGGGGTGTTCACTGGAAGCACTTTCCCAAGATATGGTGACGTCTTTCAGCACCACCGCATATATGGAACCCTGCAAGGTTGTCACATACGCAGAAGGCGTTTGCATAGTGAGAATTTTCTACAAGAGAAGAAACAAGTTCTAAGCTACATCAATGTATTATTGATGGAAACATTAACATAATCTTGCAAATCTTGGACTTCTAGTCTATGGAGATTCTCTGAACTGAAGAAGAATAGATTAAGGAACATTTATTTTATTTATTTATTTTTTCATAATTTATATGCCGCCCTTCTCCCCACGGGACTCAGGGCGGCTCACAGCATATTAAAATAACACAATACAAACAACACACACAACATTTCCCCTATAAAAGCCAATTAAAACCAAATATTTGTAGCTGTGACATTATTAAAATCATTAAAAATTATCCCTATTTAAAATTCACNTCGTTCCAGAGGGTGGGGGCACCCACAGAGAAGGCCCTCCCCCTGGGGGTCGCCAGCCGACATTGCTTGGCCGACGGCACCCTGAGGAGGCCCGCTCTGTGGGAGCGTACCGGTCTGTGGGAGGGAATCTGTGGCAGAAGGCGGTCTCGGAGGTATCCAGGTCCTATGCCATGGAGCGCTTTAAAGGTGGTAACTAACAACTAACAACTAACATTGATCTAATATAGGAAACTAGTGTATTCTGTAACCGGCACAGGGCATTCTTTTTTATGAACTTGCTTAAATATCCCAAAATATCTGTAATAGTTTTTTTTCCCAAGCTGGACCTTCGGGAGGCGTACTACAGGGTGCGGATACGGCGTGGAGACGAGTGGAAGACGGCATTCAACTGTCCACTCGGCAGTTTCCAGTTCCGCGTGATGCCGTTTGGCCTGCAAGGGGCCCCCACGGTCTTCATGCCCCCAAACCCACTATTTTTTTACCTTCAGCCTTTTTAAGGCGACACTGGCTTCTGCCGTGGATTTCACTGAAAATGGCAAAATGGCAATTGAAAACCTCATGGTATTAAATACTGAAATCACACTGAAGGCCTGTAAAAGGGAAGGAATTAAAGGATTCTTAGTATCAAATGGGAGGGAGATTCATCCAGGAGAGTCAGACTTTTAGACTTTCTAACTTTCAGTCCCCACGTTTCTCTTTCCTAATTTGGTATCACAGATTATCCCAAATTGGTGCGGCTAAACAGGCAGGACTCTCCATACTGCCAGCTATTCAGTCTTAAATTAGTCTCAGAAGTTAGCAGGAATTGGCAAAAACTAACTAGGATATTGCAGATAGTCCTTGACTCACAACCACAACCAAGCCCCAAGTCAGCTAAGAGAGAGAGAGAGTGGTTAACTGAGTTTGGCTCCATTTTGTGACTTTACTTGCCACTCCAGCTGTTCATTGAGTAACATGCTTGTTAAGGGAAAGTAGATTTCCCATTGACTTTGCTTCTGAGAAGGTCACGGGACCCCGGGACACTGCAACCGTCATAAATATGAGCCAGTTGCCAAGTGCCTGAATTTTGATCACGTGACCACAAGGATTCTTCAATGGTTGTAGACATATCCAGTTCCTGCAACTGTTCTTCATATGTTTTAATCTCCAGTCCCTTAATCATCATTGCTCTCTGCACTCTTTCCAGAGTCTCAACATAGTGTAGGTGCTGGACTAGATGACCTCCAGGGTCCCTTCCAGTTCTATTCTATTCTATTCTATTCTATTCTATTCTATTCTATTCTATTCTATTCTATTATCATTATTCTATTCTAGCCCATTCTATTCTATCCTATCCTATTCTATCCTTATCCTATCCTACCCTACCCTATTATCATTATTCTATCCTATCCTATCCTATCCTATCCTATCCTTATCCTATCCTACCCTACCCTACCCTACCCTACCCTACCCTACTCTATTACTATTCTATTCTATTCTATTCTATTCTATTCTATTCTATTCTATTCTATTCTATTCTATTCTATCCTTATCCTTATCCTTATCCTTATCCTTATCCTTATCCTTATCCTTATCCTTATCCTTATCCTTATCCTTATCCTTATCCTACCCTACCCTACCCTACTTTACTCTACTCTACTCTACTCTACTCTACTCTATTCTATTCTATTCTATTCTATTCTATTCTATTCTATTCTATTCTATTCCATTCCATTCCATTCCATTCCATTCCATTCCATTCTATTTTTTAGAGACCAAAACTGGATGCAGCATTTCAAGTGTGGCCTTACCAAGGCATTGTAAAGCAGTACTAACACTTCACGTGATCTTGATTCTATCTCTCTGTTAATGCAGCCTAGGAGAGTTGATCTGACATTTTGGTATCATCTTGGTGAGGAACTGATGGCTATCATAAAGACAGTGGAACAACTAAGAAACAGAAGTATCGTCTTACAACAGCAGCTGATAATTCACGCTTTAACAGGGTATGGAGGCAAAACAGCATAACAATGGTTAGAGTGGAAACGACTGGCGTCAATGCAGAGTTCACGCTTTGGACGTATCCTGCCTTTTCCAGTATTTTTTTTTCTGTTTCCCGGATGCCTGCAAAAGGTAAAAGACATCATCCATCCTGTAATGACGTGGAGCCAAGTGATAAATCACATATCTTTCTAGACAATGGTCTATAATTTTGCAAATTATACCCTATGCACCTTCAATTAGAGGTGAATCATAAAAATTGGGGTGAGAATGAGCTAGTTAAAGCATTCCACTGAAACAGGGAAGAACTAGAGTAGTCGCCTCCCCACTCCAGGTACCTGTGATAATTTTTGCAAAAGATTTTTCCCAGGCATACATTTTGATTAGCTTAATGGACGTCAAAATCTCATTCGTGATTTGCACACGTCTGTCAGTCATCACAACAGAACTTCTTCGAAAAACAGAAGTTAATTTGGCCATCAACATCTGCAAGGGAAAAGAGATTTCATATATGGCTGACAGCTAAACCCATGGCAGAGGACTAAAGGTCAATGCTACTAGCATTGGATGTTTTGCTTTGACAACAGTTGGAGATGCAATCATTTTCTTCTTATGTTTTACTCTTAGAGTTGGAGTTAGATGATGCTGGGGGGGGGGGAGAAAGTGCACAAGAGTTTAGCTAGATATAACAATACTGGACCTAGTTAGTGAACCAAGGTTATTGAAATAAGAGATGATAAGAATTGGCCCGGCTGGAGAACTGAAAGCCTGCATTTCAAACTAATTGGAGAATGCAATTTATGACTGTTAATTGGAGGAGGGAATTGTGCTTTGATACTATGCGCTCAGGGGAGGGGAATCCAGTTTTTGGCTTCGATTGTGTTAGTGCCGACGCTCTGCTTCTCTAATCAAGATTCTTTAAGGTAAACAATGCCTTGAAGTTCTTTGAAGAGTTTCATCTGTTGGAACCATGACACTAAACAGTCTTCATAACCATAGCTATCTCTTCTGTTGTTCAGATTTAGGCTGTGAGAACAGGTAGTCCTCAACTGATGACCACAATGAAGCCCAAAATTTCTGTTGTTAAGTGAGACATCGGTTCAGTGAGTTTTCCCCCTTTTTCCGACCTGTCTTGCCTCGGTTGTTAAGCGAATCACTGCAGTTGATAAGTAACCTGGTTGTTAAATGAATCTGACTCTGCTTGTCAGAAGGTCACAAAAGGGGAATCACACAACCTTGGGACACAGCAACCGTCATAAATATAAACCAGTTGCCAAGCATCTGAATTTTGATCACATGATTATGGGGAAGCTACAAAAGTCATGAAAAATGGTCCTAAGCTACTTTTTTCAGTTTCAAAGTTCAGTAACTTTGAATGGTCACTAAAAGAACTGTTGTAAGTTGAGGGCTCTCTGTATTATTGCCTAAATATTCACACTGGCATTGCTCATGTATAGAGCAGTATCAGTGGATTTGGTCTATAAAATTTGCAGAAGTCCCAAGTAGAAAGGAACCTGCAAGATCTCTGCAAGGAAGCAAAACCATTAAAACCAAAATACTTTACACTTTACACATCTAGTTGCACCAACAACTTACTTAAAATGGGAGGGGGTGGGTTGTTATTTTAATAACACAGAGAGAGAACAGTAGAAGAGATCTTCTGGGTAAAAACATATTATATATATATATATATATGTATATTAGAAGAGGAAAAGGTTTCACCTGTAATGGTATAAATGCGGCATAAATGAATGTTCCTATGAGTGCCGTCGGACCAAGGAGGGCACAAGAATAGATGGTGCAAACAATGATCAAAAGGGGCGCAGTCATGGGCATTGGGCCAAACAAGGCAGCTTCGAATATCCGAAAACCATCACTGGCTAAGAAATTAATCAGCTGAAAGACAATGAAGAAACTGGTCAGAAATGATCTTGCGTCGAAAGCTTTCCAAATCACGGTCAATCAGTGTTAATGTCAGGATCAGGCTGGCCAATTCATACTTCATGGATGTCAACCCTAAAGACAACAGAATAGAACAGAACAGAACAGAACAGAACAGAATAGAATACGTGACAATTGCTACATGACAATAATATGAGAATATGACAATAAGTTATATGAAAATAATATAATGACAATGATAATTACTAGTACTATTATTATCAGGGGTCTTCAAACTTGGCCCTTTTATGACTTGTGGATTTCAACTCCCAGACCAGGCATGCGTGCGTGACTGAGGAATTCTGGGAGTTGAAGTCCACAAGTCATAAAAGGGCCAAGTTTAAAGACCCTTGCTATTATCTTTCTCATTTTTCCTATTACCTTCGCCTATTGGTATCTTATGATTTATCACTTTGTTGGTTGTATGTACATTGAGAGTTTATGCACCGGAGACAAATTTCTCGTATGTCCAATCACATTTGGCCAATGAAGAATATTCCAACAAAGGATATTCTTCTATTCTATTGTTATTGAAATCAATGGAATATGTGACTTAGCTCTAGGTTGATTTCAATTGGAATAATTGAATTAGGAACTTGGATTTGGTTTGTTCTACTTATAAAAATGAAGCAATCGTGGATTTACAGGCATTGTTAACATGTCAAAGGGGACATGAAATCCCAAGTACTAAACAGTTGCAGGTTTTATCTTGTTCTTCTCTGTGAGCTTGCAGTATTCACGCACACATGTGGCTACTTAGAGAAGTTCTCCTAGCTTAATATCAAAAATGGAGATATCATGAGAACATTAAGAGTCCTGGAGGATCACAACAAAGGGCTTCCTAGTCCATCATTTTTAGTTCTGCACAATAACCAAGATGATGTTGGGAAGCTGTAAAAAAAGGACATGAAGGCCATTGCACTGTCCTCCTTAGCTGTTATTTCTTACGTTAGATTCTAAAGATACCGTATTGTATCATGATTAGCAATCATTGTTGGCTCCAGCCATTAATCAGAAGCTCACAACGTCTCTTGTAGAAAACCAGCCACTGAGTACATTTTGCAAATTAAATATTTCTAGGAAATCAGATGAGGATGCGATCTCAAAGACTTACTTTGCCTAAAGATGTGTGTTTCAAGGACTTACAAGCTAGCAGGTTCTCAAAAGCAACAGTTGTCACGGCAAGTTTTACCCTGACAGCCGTGCGATAGTTGATAGCCCATGTCAATGACCACAACACAACTTTTGAAAATTCAGTGAAAAAAAGGGCCACGCAGAGGCCCACACCCTCTAGCAAGTCCTTTGAATCTTTGTCACTGTACTGGAGGATGTTATGGAAGATCAGGGTCTGCAAAAACAAACAAAAACATAAAAATATTTTTTTTTGGGCGGGGGAAATGTGTATTGTTAAGTTGATATATATTTTTAAGTGGTTGATATTATTCAATACTGCCTGGTTTGTTTTTCTCCCCTCCCAGTTTAAAATCTGTGCAAAAAACTGGCAGATTTCCCAGGCAGCAGAAGTGTAAGCAATCACTCTGCCAAGAATGAAGAAATAAGTCTTCAGACTATTGAATCATCTAGTCTAAGATTATTTGCAACATACATTCTCATTTGGGGGCAGATTTCTTTTGAGTGTTGTTCTACAATTGAAAGCTTTTGGAGAAGACGTGTTTTAACACTGTGTGTGTCATTGTTATGAAAATCAGAAGCTCAAGCTGTGGTTCTAGATCACTCATGATGATGGTGATGCCAAGATTGATATGATTCTTAGCCTAAGAAAAGAGCCCTATCAAGTTTGCGCCAAAGAATGAAACTGGGTTCTTTTGCAGGTGGCATGGGTGTCTCACTGAAATAAGATCTCTTTTGTTAAAATGGGTTTATAAATGCAATAGCAGTAGGCAGAGCCGTTCTCCAGTGGTTTTGTCTATTGATTCTCATTCTATTTGATGAAAGAGAATTTGCTTTGGGATTTTCTTTCAAAGCAGATGCCAGTTGCAACGAGTGTCTTAAAAGTGAAGTAAGTCTCTCTCTCTCTCTCTCTCTCTCTCTCTCTCTCTCTCTCTCTCTCTCTCTCTCTCTCTCTCCTCTCTCTCTCTCTCTTTCTTTCTCTCTCCTCTTAGACACAACTCTCTCCTCTCTCTTCTCTGTTTCTCTTCTCTCTCTCTTTCTCTCTCTCTCTCCTCTTAGAGATGCCTCTCTCCTCTCTCCTCTCTCTTCTTTCTCTCTCTCTTCTCTCTCTCTCTCTCTCCTGTTAGAGATACCTCTCTCCTCTCTCTTTTCTCTCTCTTCTCTCTTCTTTCCTCTCTCTCTCTTTTTCTTTCTCTCTCCTCTTAGAGACAACTCTCTCCTCTCTCTTCTCTCTTCTTTCTCTCTCTTCTCTCTCTCTTTCTCTCTCTCTCCTCTTAGAGATACCTCTCTCCTCTCTCTTCTCTCTCTCTTCTCTCTTCTCTCTCTCTCTCTCTCTCTCTCTCTCTCTCTCTCTCTCTCTCTGCATGGCCAATTCACCGTGGGACAACTTGCTGCAGGACAAGAGTTACACTACTATCGAAGAAACGGTGGAATGGAATCATTAAAGAAAGGCTGGGAAAGGAGGGACAAAATGAAATGTGAATGACAAAAATGAAAACGATTTTTAAATTATTTTAAATACTGAAATTGAATTGTTGAATTGTCCCACTGCGAGTTGGCCACACCTAGTCGGCATGGCAAGTTGGCCCTCCCAAGTTTCCCCATTCCGCCCTCTCTGGCTTCCTACATATTCTTTCCATCCCAAAGAAAGAGATCAGAAAACACTCCAGGGCAGCCTTCCGACTGAGGGGGTGGATTTATCAAATGTTCTGCCTCAAACAAAGGTTTGAAATGTCCTCCTTCCCCTGGAGAAATTTTGAGAAATCACCCCATCAAATTCTCTGCTCAAATATGGTGAAAGTTTATCCGTGTCAGCGCTCAACATGTACTTCCAGGTTACTCACTGGCCCCAAAACACCAAAAATGGCATAAAAAATATTAGCAATTATGTCCATGAAAATCCTTGTCCTTTGAAATTGAAAGAACACTTTGCCTAAAGAAGCTTTCTCAAGTCCGACTTTGGCAACCTCAGCTTCCCAAAGGAGTCGAAATCTGTAAAAGAAAAAAGAAAAAGAAAAAAACAAATGACTCACGTTACCTATTTCTTCCAATGCCCACGCTTCTGAAAGCCACTGGTGTCAATTCATTATTACAGAAGATAGAAAACTGAGAAGTTCTAATGGGGCGTCTTGCTTTAAGCAGACATTGAAATCCAGAATTGGATAAGATCAGTCAAGGCTTTGCTAGTGCTTTATCTGAAAGTTGGTTGTTGTTTTTTTACTCCACTGCTTATTATTTCACTCGTCTTGCACTTTGCAGTGAATAACAGAGTTGGACGGGACCTTGGAGGTCTTCTAGCCCAACCCCCTGCTCAGGCAGGAAAACCCTACACCATTTCAGACAAAGGGTTGTCCAATCTCTTCTTAATGCACACCTTCCCCAAAGAATGTTTGCAAAGAAGACTTACGTCAGGGCGATCACTTTTCCACCTGCAACCGAAATCGTGTAGAAATTACAGGGTCTCGCTTGGCCCACTGCCCTGCTTTCCTTCTCCTTTTAGGAAAGGAGCAGCAGGACGCCCCAGGCCCTGTTGTTTTCTTACAAACAACTGCCTTATTAGGTTTATTATCATCAAAGTTCAACGAATGCAAACGAGGGCCACCTCCTGCTCTCCAGGAAGATTGGGGTGGGTGGGTCGAGAGAGATTTTGAAATAATAACGGCATCACAACAGAAGTACCTTTTGGCATTCGGCTCGGCGCTATCGTAGTAGGAGAGAGGAGGCAAAGTCGCTATATTGATTTTGTGCCGGTATCCTTGGAGCATTATATTGGAATACCAAGAATAGGTAGCAAATGAGAAAAGCCCAGCACTGTCCACGGGATTCTTGGAAGACCTGTAAGTCAGACAGAAAGAGGGGATCAGCAGTCGGAGAGAAGGGGAAGATGTTACGGGCATCAAAAGCTGCCTTCTGCCTTGGACCGTTGCCCTCTTCCTCATCTCTTTGATTGGCACTTATTCATCGGCGAGACCTTTTCCTCATCCCTGGCAGTCACAGCCTTTGAGCAAGCGTTCTCTAATCTTTTCACTGGATATTGAATAGCTGTCTCCGGGAAGTCAACCTGCCTGCTTGTCTTTTCAGCGGCGAAAACGGCCGAGGCCCATTTTTAATTCACTCCACCTTTTATTTCTCAACCGTTCTCCGGTGCTCGCCAATCATTTAATTTCCACGGTAAGTGTAAAACTGTGCAAGGAATGTAAAGCTGGCCTCGGGAATGGGGAATGCCCGAGAAAACAGGGGGGGGGTGTGCTTTTTAAAAAAAATAATAATTACAGGTACATTGTCCTCGACTTACAACCGTGCATTTAGTGACCGTTTGAAGTTACAACGGCACTGAAAAAAAGTGACGTATGACCGTTTTTCACGCTTAGGACCATTGCAGCATCTCTGTGATCGCATGATCAAAATTCAGACAGCGGGATATAAAATTTGGTGTATTTATAAATATAATGTAAATGTTTGTCTTTAAGAAGAGGAGATGATCGGCTAGTACCCCTAAACTGCATCCGAGGTGGTGGAAAAGAAGGCTGATGGGATGTGTAGGATAGTTGGAAAGGAGGAAAGAGGAGAGGTTGTGGTTAAGAGGGGGAGGAAGGAAGAGGGAAGTAGGTAGGAAGGTTGAGGGAGTGTGGATGCAGGGGTGAGGGACCGCCGATTATTTCTGAATACTTACTGAGTAGGCTTTTTATGTGTTTGTTTTTTTTTGTTTGTTTATGTTTATTTGAAAAATTAATAAAAAATTTGTAAAAAAAAAAAATTCAGACAGCGGGCAACTGACTCATATTTATGACGGACGCAGTGTCCCGGGGTCATGCGATCCCCTTTTGCGACCTTTCCTTCTCCATCTTTGATAGACCTTTTTATTGCCTCTCTATCTTCTCATCCTTCTGCCTCGTCGGTTCCCGAGGAACAGGCAGGTCGCCCTTCTTACAAATCTAAATTTGAAGCAGATTTGAAATTAGTCAAGGGCCAGCGAAATTAAAACCAGAATTGTGATCCCCTTGCTTGCAGGTTGATCACCTGTGATGTTTTTCAAGAACTGTATGTCAATTTTTGAGGGTAATTTAAGTACTCTGCCTATCCACTACATCTCAGTGTATGGGAGAATAACTAAAACCAGGTCTCTGATTGTCATAAATTAGATGACTGGCTCATTCAGGAGTTGTATCATAGAGATACTATTCAGTGCTATATTCTAAGTATGAGAACGTGCAACTTGCCTTGCTCTTAAGCGGATCGGAATCATGGTTTTTAAGCTTCGTGAATATTTCTGGTAGAAGGTCTTTTCAATATTTGTTTTGCTCAAATCAGTGGGAGGCAGATAATGTCCAAACATCATATTGTCATCCTGAAGGTACCACAGCTTGCTGTTCCTAGCCATCTTTTTCTTTTATGGGGGGGAAAAAAAAGAGAGAAGGTGGTTAATTCTGAACAGCCATTTCTTTTCATTTTCCTTTTGGTAAAAAGAAAAAAAAATTAAAAGCTGGAAGGCTTGGAGTCAGAAGATTAACAGAAATCTCTGGCAGTCAATGATGAAGGCCAATATACCTGGCCTAGGTCATTTTTGCAAAGCCATTTTAATTTCGGAGGCATTGTCAATTTTTCAGTAGCCAAAAATGGAAGGATCCCAAATATTTATCAATAGGGCATGGTTGACTGAGTCTGTTTGACAACCATCCTCTTCTTTTCAAGACCAAAGCAACTAGGCACCCAGAGTCCATAACTTCATGAAAGCCCAAACAAGCCTGTCCCCTTATTTTGTGTGGCCTTCTTGTCTTTCTTAGTCATCTCTTCCCCAACTCTGCATATGTTCCTCTTCTAAAGAACAGCTTAAATCAAAAGATTCTAACTAGGCCAAGAGTTTGATGGAACTTTCAGGCACAAACTCATGTTTTGCATCTATATCTAGTGACAACAAAATACATTTGTTCCTATCAGTTCTCATTCCCTTTGATAGAGAATATGCTTAAAGGTTGGGATGTTAAATGTATTGTTCTGCGTCACTCTGACCCACTCGTTCTGGGAGAAGATCTTGCCATTTTCTAGAGGCAAAAGGATGGGACCTTGTCTTCTGGACATGTTCAGAAGCAAGCAAGCAAGCAAAAAGGGGAAAATAGCTATAAGTCCTAAGGGCTGGAGAAGACCCCCTACACCTGGAGCTAATGTTATGACAAAAGAATAGATTTTCAACCAAAGCATTTGCTATCCTGCCCAACTAGCTGAAATGACAGGAATTTGAAACGGAAAGGAGAACGTATGGATGTAGAGAAGAAGCTGAACATGAATGTTATAGATAATAAACCCTTGTCTCACATCAAAACGTTGCCTTTTGCAAGTCTGCCCTCTTTTGAAATGAGTTCCTGTCCACAACCAACTCTGAGATGAAGGAAAATCTCTCAGTAGCCTTTTGTGGCTACCTATTGTAAAGGATCGGCCAGCGGGATAAAGGTTTAGTAGAAAGGTATGCAGATATTCCCAAACCCCTGAGTCAACATCACAAATCTGAGAACTTCACTCCTCCTATGGATAAAGTCTGGTTTCACCCATCTATACAGTGACTGCACTGCTTAATTCTTTTCTGCGTGAGCTACTGTCTCCCAAGAGATGACTGACAGATTGAATATATGGGGTTCTCCTCTCCCTTCACGTTGCTACTCCTTCAATTCGCTTCCAACTGAAAGTATTTTGTCTGATCTTCCAAAATGGTGCAGCCTCTGTCTCTGCAACTGCCTGACTCAACTGCCACTCTGGATTCATAAATAACATTCTAGAACACCTCCTGCTCTCCTTCCTGACTTCTGTTGACCTTTCTCAAGGTTCTGACTGGTGAGTAGATTGCATGAAGGAGGAGAAGAATTCAGCCTTGGGAGGTCTGTTTCATCTTGGAATACAGTACTGCATCCAGTTCTGGTGGCCACGATGTAAAAAAGATGTTGAGATTCTAGAAAGTGCAGAGAAGAGCAACAAAGATGATTAGGGGACTGGAGGCTAAAGCATATAAGGAACATTTGCTGGAATTGGGGATGTCTAGTTTAATGAAGAGAAGGACGAGGGGGGACATGATAGCAGTGTTACAATATCTCAGGGGCTGCCCCAAAGAAGAGGGAGTCAAGCTATTTTCCAAGGCGCCTGAAGGCAGGACAAGAAGCAATGGATGGAAACTAATCAAGGAGAGAAGCAACCTAGAACTAAGGAGAAACTTCCTGACAGTGAGAACAATTAACCAGTGGAACAACCTGCCTCCAGAAGCGGTGAATGCTCCAACACTGGAAGTTTTTAAGAAGAAACTGGACAGCCATTTGTCTGAAATGGGATAGGGTTTCCTGTCTGAGCAGGGAGTTGGACTAGAAGACCTCCAAGGTCCCTTCCAACTCTATATTATTATTATTATTATTATTATTATTATTATTATTATTATTATTATTATTATTATTATTATTGTTGTTGTTGTTGTTGTTGTTGTTGTTGTTGTTGTAGTAGTAGTAGTAGTAGTAGTAGTAGTAGTAGTAGTAGTAGTAGTACCTTGAGATTCTTCAGCTTGTGATGAATGTACGAGACTGGCATTGTTTAAGAAGTGCCACATGGCACAATAAATTTTTGTGGAGTCCTTGGTGCTTTCTGAGCTTGGATGTTTTCTTGCAGATGTTTCATTACCCAACTAGGTAACAGCATCAGTGACAGAAGGGGTTGGGGTTTGTAGAGTGGAGGAGGAGGAGGAGACAATTGTGGGATTTTTGGTGCTCTCTGAGCTTGATTGCTTTCTTGCAGACGTTTCATTATCGAACTATGTAATATCATCATAACAGAAGGGATGGGTTTGCTGTGTAGAAAAGAAGGAGAATGGGAGGAAGAGGAGGAGGAGGAAGAGGAGGAGGAGGAGACAACTGTGGTGTCCTTGGTGCTCTCTGAGCTTGATTGTTTTCTTGCAGACATCTCATTACTAAGCTTCTATTAGTATATAGCTTGCTCTTCCAGCATCTGGTTGTTACTTCGCAGGTATCAGCAGAAGTAGAGGGTAAAGAAGATGGCCTTGTCAGAAGTATACACAGGATCTGTTGCCTAGACAAGAGGGATGAACTATATATTTTTTTAAAAAATCCAGAAGATGGCTCAGGCAGATGCCTTCCTAAGTTTCTGAACCCTAAGGAGGAGGAGAAGGTAGAGCATAATCGGGCTGGCAAGATTCTGTGATGATAGCCAATCTCAGTCAAAGTAATTTTAGCCTTCTTGTAAAGTTCAGTTCCTGCTCTGATCTATCCAGTGGGTCTACCTGTTTGGACTGACAATATGTCATGAAATTATAAAATCAGTTGAGACCAGTGGTGGGATTCAGCCAGTTCGCACCAATTTGGCAGAATCGGTAGCTAATTTTTTGTTGCCCAGGCCCAGAATGGACTTCTGGAAGCGGCATCCACACAGAGAACCGGTTGTTCACATATTTGAATCCCACCACTGGTTGAGACAGTTAAGAATATCAGTTCTCTGCTTGTCTAAATTAAGTCATTCCTATCAGATGGTTGTCAGAATACATCTTTGAAAGGGTGCCTATCCTGCCCCTAAGGAACAGGTTTCATTGTCGAACTTTTGTATCACTGTACAAACATTTTGTACAGCCTCGGTTGAGCAGGTTTTAAGGCAGTTCATCATAGTACTCCACCTTCAGGGCTGGTTAATGTGTTTCAGATCAAATTATCAGGGAGAAAGTTAAGTGCTCTATTTTTGCTGTCTGTTTTTTTTTTTAAATGACCTCATTCTATCAATTCTAATTGGAAAGCTTTGTAATTCTTAACTTTGGGTTTTGCAGAGTCAGAACCAAAGAGTACATTTTGTAAGAGCAAACAAAACGGAAGATGCCCTCTTGGGAGACAGAGTTGTGGAACTGGAATATTCCCGATTCCAAAGCATTTTTTTTGAGAGTTGCAAATAAGGGAGAAGGGAACCAGAAATGCTAGGATGGGCAGTTAATCCGTGGCCATTTAAGAGAAGTCTAGAGGCTGGTTCTTAAAATAAAATACGACACTTTTCAGCTGCTTGAAGTCACTGGTTGAACCTTCTTCAGTCTGGGGAGTCGTAGGTGCTCCCCCGCTCCCCCCACAGGCACATACAGCAAGTATTCTACAGGTGTCCAACCCAGTGGTGGGATTCAAATATGTGAACAACCGGTTCTCTGTTTGGATGCCGTTCCGGAAGTCCATTCTGGGCCTGGGCAACAAAAAATTAGCTACCGGTTCTGCTGAAGTGGTGCGAACTGGCTGAATCCCACCACTGGTTCAATCCCCCCCCCCAAACAGGTATAGATAGAAAGATAGACAGATGATAGATAGATAGATAGATAGATAGATAGATAGATAATACTTATATACCACTTCACAGTGCTTTATAGCCCTCTCTGAGTTGTTTACTAAGTCAGTATATTTCCCCAACAATCTGGCTCCTCATTTTACGCCCTTCGGAAGGCTGGAAGGCTGAATCAAACTTGAATCCTGTCAGGATCAAACTCCAAGCTATAGGTAATATATAATGGCAAACTACTTCTGAAAAACCTTGTCAGGAAAACTGCAGGCACTCGTCCAGGCAGTCTCCGAGAATTGGACACGACCGAAGAGAAGGATATATATTTCTTCTTCCATTCAGACAGATGATAGATAGATAGATGGATAGATAGACAGAGACTGACAGATGATAGATATAGACAGAGACAGACAGATGATAGAGATAGTTAGATAGATAAGTTAGTTAGTTAGTTAGTTAGTTAGTTAGTTAGGTAGGTAGGTAGGTAGGTAGGTAGTCCGCCAGGAGCATCCATTATAAAAACAAAAGTAAAACAAAGCAAGTTTTCATGTCAGTCACCAACTTAATTATTCTGACCTTCCCTTGAAAGCCTCTGAACTTCACCTTTTTACCCTATCAAGCACTCTATTTGATTTAGATCAGGGGTGTCAAACTGCTGGCCCGTGGGCCAGATGTGTCATGCCGAAACCGTGCCCACCCCATTGCCTGCAATGGAATGATTTAGATATGCTGGTGCACTGTTGTGTTTAAACACCGGTGTGCATGCATGATTTAACTTTTTATTTTCTTGAGCTAGTTCATATGCGTAATGAAATCAGGTTCAGGTAACTCAAGCTGTTTTCAGGGGGTCCCCATAAAATATTTAAAAGATTGATTTAATGAATACAATGTGCCATCTATTTTTTTTTTAAAACATCCCGTTTATTATAGCTCAGGAAATTAAATAATGTATGATGCCCTGACATCTTGTGGTCATAAACTGATATAGCAAGAGGAGAATTGTTCCTCTTAACATGAATTTTTCCTGTTAGAATCTTTAGAAGTGTTAGTATGGAAATACACAACTTTCTTCAGCCAGATGTTCCTCCTAAGTTGGTTGAAGAGGATGCTTTTGACTGGAAAGCCATCAGAGAATGGCAGAGCCTTCGTTTGCAACTGGTCACAGCCGAAAACCCACTTGTGAAGTCCCATTGGGAGCCGATTCAAGGTAATCCAGTTCTTTGCACCAGGGGCCCTTAGTCAGAAAATCCCCATCTTCCCTAAATCAACTAGGTCAACCTTCAGCACCGCTGCGAGAGCAGCAATTCTAGTTTTCCACCAACTGCTCCTGCACCTTCCTGTGGACTCTAGATAGGATCCTGGAAAGGACCAGCACATAATAAATTAAAGGATGTTCCTCTGTCTTAATGCACGAATCAAAGGGATAATTTGCTTTACTTCTGACTCTTGTTGATGCTGAAACTAATAAGGCATGCCCTTACAGGAAAGTAAGTCTACTGAAAATAAGAATGACAATTGCAAGTGACAATTGATTGCACAGCAAAGAACATTTTTAATGCTTGTTTAATTCGCCTGATTCCTCCCCCCCCCGAATGCAAATACAGATAGTCCTCGACTTACAACAGTTCATTTAGTAACCGATACTGTTCTATTCCACCCCTTTTTTTTTTTTAATGAATTACTATCGCGTCTGAGTTTCTCCACGCTTGTCCCGCCCGGCTTAAAGAGGCGGCGCAACGCCAGATACGGCCAGAGGGGGCGGCCGCGAGCAGCACGCGCGTCTTGCGCCGTTTGCCCCTCGCCGCTCGCCGTAGCGCGGCCCGTACGCGACGCGCCTTGCGCGAGAGCCGCTCAGCCATGGCGTCCTCGGGCAGCGCCATCCAAATCCCGACCCGCCTGCCGCTGCTGCTGACGCCCGAAGCCGTGCTGCTGCCGGGCTCCACCATGCGCGCCAGCGTGGACTCTCCGCGGAACATGCAGCTGGTGCGGAGCCGGCTGCTGAAGGGCACGTCGCTCAAGAGCACCATCCTCGGCGTCATTCCCGACACGAAGGACCCGGGCAGCGACCTCGACGCGCTGCCGCCGCTCCACAGGTTCGGGAACGCGGCCTTGCCCGCCGCGGTCGCTATGGCAACCGGCGCCCGCCCCCACCCCGAGCTCCCCCCCGGTTGCTATAACAGCGGCCCCTTCCGCGAGCCCTTCCCAACATGGCGGTCGTGACGTCAGGAAGACCACGCCCCCTCGTCCCCCCTCCCTTCGGCCACCTGCCTTAATCCGGAGACCTTCCCTTGCGTTGCCATGGTCACCGCCTGGCCTGTTGCCGCGGTGCTACCCTCCCTCCCTCCCTCCGGCCATCTATCACGCCTAAGGTTCACGGTTGCCATGGCGACTGCAGCCCCCTCTTTCCTCTCTTTCTGGCCAGGGATGCTCTTTGCTCCTTTGGCTAATTGGAGCAAATTAATTATTATCTTATTAGAGTTGTGACATTGCGCTTTATTCTTGATTTAATGCATTTCCATTGGTGCCCATCTCAGGGCAGGGTTTTTTTTTATTATCCCTTCATTTTTATTTTGGCCCACAAAAGAGACCCAAGGTTGCCTTGTCTTTTGTGTGTAAATAGCAAACAGTCATGTGCGTGAGATTTTATTTATTACATCTTTCCTATAAAATAGCTCTGGGCAGCTATGGAAATTTAATAAATAAATAGGTTATGAATTTGCTTTGACGATCCCATCCTGTTCTTTTCTTCGGGGCACACAACATGGTGCTTGAGGAGTGGAGTACAGTTAGCAGGAGAAGTTTACTTCCGGTTCGATGGTAGTAACTCGTGAAGTTCATAGAAATAGATTTTAAAAATGGTTGCTTGCGAGTTTTAGAAACTTTGCTTTTGGAAGTGGATCTAGAGATGAAACGGTGTGGGAAAACGCATGGGTACCAATCAGAGTCTCGTGTTCTGTCGTTGAAAGTGGTTTGTGATTTTAGTGAGCATTAATGTAGGCCAGGCTCTTGAGGGACATGGCTGTAAGGAATACACTCTGTAACAATTTGCTGGTGAAAAGACAACTGATTGATCAGTTAAAAAACAGCTTTCTTTTCCAGCAAAAAAGTGGCTGCAGAAACACAACGAAGGAAACCCCTGCAAGCGTGTGTTGCTTTTTTGATGCTTGAATGTAGGTTGATAAATGGTCAGATGCTTCCTCTTGTCAAAAGATTGAAAGGGTTCTCTATGCAAAATGTTCCATGTTCAATCTCAGGCATCTCTAAGCAAAATGCCTGTCTGAAGCAGGAATCTAACCATCTGGAACTTTTTCAAAGTATTTTCAAACGTTTCTGTAGCTAGGACTAACACTGCTAGCATAGTATTGTAGCCGCTTTATCATGGACAACGTCTTTTAAAACAGCCCCATGGAGACAGGTAGTCCTCAACTTACAACAGTTTATTTAGTGACCCTTCGAAGTTACAATGGCACTGAAAAAGTGCCTTATGACCATTTTCCACACTTAGGTCCCTTGCAGCATTTCCCCATGGTCATGTGATCAAAATTCAGCCGTTTGGCAACTGACTCATGCAATGTCCCCGGGGTCATGTGATCCCCTTTTGCGACCTTCTGACAAACAAAATCAATGGGGAAGCCAGATTCACTTAATAACTGTGTTACTAACTTAACAAGTGCAGTGATTCACTTAACAACTGTGGAAAGAAAGGTTGTATAATGGGGCAAAATTCACTTAACAGCTGTCTTGCTTAACTATAGAAATTTTGATCTTAAGTCAAGGAGTACCTGTAATGTTAGCGCCTTTACCATGGACGATATCTTCCAAAACAGCTCCATGGGATAATTAACTCCTGTTCAAACGTATCCCTATTGTGGCATGACAAATAATACTTTCTTTTTTTTTTTTGGCGTTTTCAGGATTGGCACAGCTGCACTGGCAGTTCAAGTGGTCGGCAGCAACTGGCCCAAGCCCCATTATACGTTGCTATTAACGGGCCTCTGCAGGTTCCAGATTTTGCAGCTGGTGAAGGAAAAACCTTATCCCGTTGCGGACGTTGAACAGTTGGATCGGCTAGAACAATTTACTAACAAGTCTGAAGAGGAGCTGGGAGAGTTGCCGGAGCAATTCTATAAATATGCAGTGCAGGTTAGGTGCCTTGAAATGGTGCTAAATATCTAAATATCTGTTGAGGAAATGATAGCGCTCGCTGGGTGTAAAGGAATTGTGGCTCACTAGCAAAGTCCGTGCTTTGTTGCTGATGCAATGTTAGTTGTTTACTTTTCCTGTTGCAATGCTCTCATGCATTCGGGATGAGGAGGACCTGTTTGCGTAGCTCAGGAGAGAACATTTTCATCCAAACTGCAAAAAGAGGGCAGGCCACGGCAGAGATCTCTCTCTCTCTCTCTCTCTCTCTCTCTCTCTCTCTCTCTCTCTCTCTCTCTCTCTCTCTCTCTCTCTCTCTCTCTCTCTATATATATATATATATATATATATATATATATATATATATACACACACACACACACACACACATATATATATATATATATATATATATAATGAAATAACTAATTAATTTACGATCACCAGGAACATTTAAGTAAAAATACTTTAATTGAAAACCGAGCTTTCGTTGGGTGTAATGAATACACCCGGGAGTCATATTTTTACTGATATCATTAACCATATATATATGGTTAATATATATATATATAGAAATTTGGATTGCTAACAAAGAATTAAGGGAGAACTGGAATAGCTATTTCGAACTTTTTAGTTCTTATCAACCAGACATACCCTTCTGAGATTCGAACCTGGGCTGTCTTAACCTGGGCTGTCTTAAGCAGCTGTGTTAACCTCTAGGCCAGAGGCTCTTTCTCACTTTGTCAGCTGTATTCAACTTCCCTGGCTTCAACAGTGCTATTAGTATTACCTTATGTTACAGAAAGAAAAACAGAAACTTAAAATACATTCTATAACAGGACAGAGTATAACAAACTGTGCGTATAACATCTGTAAATTTTTTGATATTTCATGTTTATTTCTTGAAGACATTTTGCTTCTCATCCAAGGAGCTTCTTCAGTTCTGACAGTCAGAACTTACTTTGCTGATAAAGCTGTTTGAGGATGAGATTCCTGCCCTCATGCTCAAACAGCCACTTGCTTGCCTCCAGGAAGAAAAAGTTTCACTGGTGCAAAGTTTGAATCCAGCAGATAGTTGTGTCCGAAAGGTGGTCAGATGGCATAGAAAAAAAAAAACATCCTTCAGATTTCACAGGCTTCTTGACCATTCTTCTGTTGGTTGGGCAAGTCACTTTGGAACAAACGACCTTAGCACCACTGAAATTCAGAAAATGGAGGGGTCCTTTTCTTTTTGTCCTAAGGCCACACTTAGAATACTGCATCCAGTTTTGGTCACCGCGATGTAAAAAAGATGTTGAGACTTTAGAAAGAGTACAGAGAAGAGCAACAAAGATGATTAGGGGACTGGAGGCTAAAGCATATAAGGAACGGCTGCTGGAATTGGGTATGTCTAGTTTAATGAAGAGAAGGACGAGGGAGGACATGATAGCAGTGTTCCAATATCCCAGGGGTTGCCATAAAGAAGAGGGAGCCAAGCTATTCTCCAAGGTGCCTGAAGGCAGGACGAGAAGCAACGGGTGGAAACTAATCAAGGAGAGAAGCAACCTAGAACTAAGGAGAAACTTCCTGACAGTGAGAACAATTAACCAGTGGAACAACCTGCCTCCAGAAGCGGTGAATGCTCCAACACTGGAAGTTTTTAAGAAGAGACTGGACAGCCATTTGTCCGAAATGGTATAGGGTTTCC